TTGTGTAAACAAAGAAACTGGCGCACTGAGCTCATACCTCCACCGAGGAAAAGCCAATTTAAGTCATATTTCTGAGGTTTGGAGGCTCCGCTCCTTCGAGGATTCTCTGCATGAGATTATTTTTTCTGGGGTTTCATTGATCGTGCCCAGTTTTCTGCCTCACAGGAAGCCTTTGATTTCTCTGCTCAGCACTGGAGGCGTTGTCAGTCACTGATGTAAATTTGCTAAAACACTGTGGGAAATGTCATGATGCCACGCTTCATGATCTGTCCCTGAGCCGCAGATACAGCTGTCTTTTCCATTGGAGTTGTGTGATTGGATGTGTTAGGCTGAGACTTAATGGTGTCCACACGTGTGTGTTCACACTCGACATGCTGGTGTGACATTCACACGCTTGATTGGATCTCACCGTAGCCCTGGAGACGAGAAGGTGTCGTTGTTCTGTAGATCCTGATCATGTTGGAGGGCAACAGACATGTGCTCAGCTCTGCTGCTGCAGGTAGAGCCGCAAACATCACGACCCACCCACCCAGTCTCTGAGCACACCATTAAATACATAATCACCGCCCATTTTATTAGGTACACCTGTTCAACCCCTCGTTAACACTGATGTCTAATCAGCCAATCGCACGGCAGCAGCTCAGAGCCTTTAGGTGTGCAAACATGCTGAAATTCAAACTAGAGGTGGTCTCGTCCAGGTATCGATAGTATCAGATCGATGCTTTGTTTCTATCCTCTATGTGCAGCTCACTGAAGCGTGTTAAATAAGTAATTTTTTAAATAAAATTCTACACCCCGAACATGAGCTATGAAACATGTCTGTGCTGACTGTCTGCTTTATTTACAGCCTGCAGCACAGTTAAACTACAGACGCTGAGCCAGACAACTCTACATTCAGCTCAGTTTCAAAATAAAAGCTGGAAGGTGTGTTTTACTGTGTTAACTCCTTATTTTAAAAGTAAAAGTCACAGTGATTTAGTGATACTTAAAATGCCTTCAGAATTTGCAACCTGATGATGGTTCATCTCATAAATCAGGACACACTGCGCTCCTCAACAGCAGCTGCCTGTAGAAATAGTTAAAAATATCACTATTGGCATCGGTATCAGTGGTACTGGCCCTGTAGTTACCTGGCGTTGGATATACACCAATCTGCAGAGTGGCGCAGCACGAGTTCAAACTGAGCATCAGAATGATAAGAAAGTTGCTTTAAGGGCCTGAGGGCGGCGTGGTTGTTGGTCTGAGTGTTGCACAATCTGCTAATCTGCTGCGATTTTACCACCAACCACCATCACAGACATCAGCTCTCTGGGAGGAAACGCCCTGCTGAGCTCAGAGGTCAGAAGAGAAACAGCAGACTGCTGATAGAAAGGTACTCATTACAACCAACGTCTACAGAAGAACCTTCAAGCAGATGGGCTGCAGCAGCAGGAGACCACATTGTGTCATTCCTGTCAGTAAGAACAAGAAACTCAGACTTACAACACAGTCTGGTTTCTGAACATGACAAGTTCGCTGCACTCAGTCCAACAGAGCACCCTCACCTTCATCACAAAGGCAGCAACACACCTGCAGAAACTGTGTGATGATGTCATGATGATGTCATACCATGGAACAAAGTCTGAGGAACGTTTCCAGCAGCTTGTTGAGTTAAAGCAGCTCTGAATGAAAAGAGCCCATCCACATCCTAACAAGGAGTAACTAATAAAGTGGCCAGTGTTTAATTAAAGTCTAAGAACACATTGGCGGCATAAAGTAAATGTAAAGAAATGAACACACACACTGTGTCCTGTCCCTCAGTAGGCTTCCAGACGTTGGCCATCAGGAAACAGGATGATACAGAAGGATGATTCTTAACTGTGAATCATGCAAAGCCACTCTGATAAATTCCATGAGTGAAAAACGGAGCAGGTCATGATCAGGGAGCACTTCATTTAAACCCATTAAACTCAGGATGTTCAGTATTTGGATGAAGCCGCTCGTGAGAAGAAACCTCAGCCTGTCAGTCACATTTAATCAGCACTCAGGTAAAACAGATCAGACTCAATGAAACTCAGCTCGTTAACAAAGAAGCTGCACTGATGCTGATGGTGTCTTACCACGTTGCTGATGATATCGTTTAATCAGCACCTCACAGGCCGTCAGCTGACCCCCTCTCCCTGTAATGTTCTGTAGCCAGTGAGCAGAGACCTGTCAGACATGCCGCCAGTCCTTCGGCCTGCTTCTGCTCCACTTAAGACTATTTGCCTGTTAGCAGCTGACCCAGGGTCAGCCAGTCTGGGCGTGTCCCTGTGTATCATGCGCTCATCAGAAACGTCCTGCACAGCGAAGGTGGTCAGAGCAGTCTGCCTCACAGGCAGGAGATGCTAATCAGCACCGCTGTACATGTGAATGCAGGTGATTACATGTAATCACATGTGGGTACATGTGATTGCAGCACTCAGACCTGACATGGACACGACTACAGCACTTTCACTGCTCCTGCAGCGTGCTCACTGTTAAACCCTAACACAGCTGCAGGACACAGAACCACAAACACTGCCTCCTGTTACAGTCCTAATTAGGTCACATGGTGAGTGCACTGATGGAGCTGAAGTTGTTGATGGAGGAAAAACAGACTTCTGTGCTGCTGTTTGTTGGGTGGATGTGAGCAGGTGGATGCTGTTGTCACGGCCAGCGGGGGCAGACCGTGTGGAGAGTGTGTGGTGGACCCAGGCGCGAACACAGGCGAGGAGACAGGAGTGAACTTAAACTGAAAGAGAGCCTTTATTTGGGCTGATGCAGGAGGGAGTAGACAAAACATAACAGGGACAGACTGCAACTAACCAAAAACCTAAACTGGAAAAATACTAACCTGACTGTAAGGAATAACTATGATCACTGTGAACAGAATGCTGTGCAGATGCATGGAAACTGTGAACCAAATGGCATGACGAAACAGACATGACCTGCACAGAACCTCATCGTGCGGCTGCATGAAAAACAACAGAAACCAAATGGCAAACCTGAACTGCACAGAATCCTGAAAAACACTTAACTTGACCAGAGGGGAAGTACACAGACAACGCGACAACGAACAAAGGAAGACTGAGGACTTAAATACACACATGAGGTGATCAGGGGAAGTGGAGACACATGAGAACACAGCTGACTCGAATGAAACATAATGACAATACAGGGGAGAGAAACACTAACTACAATGAACAAAGAACACCAGACTCTTACAAAATAAAACAGGAAACACGGAGACATAGACATGGAGATAAAACATGACATGAACTTAACCGCATAGACATGAAACATAGACGCAGGAACCAGGGAGACTGAGTACAGGCGGAGATGACAGAAATAACTAAGAAATAAGGCCTGAACAGCAACGTAGAATTTAACTAGACTGAAAATAAATACAAAAAAATACATAAAAACTCAAACACTGGGTCACACGACCCAGTACCGTGACAGCTGTGCTGTTTAGGATTGTGTCACAGTGAGCTGGCTCTGAGAGCAGGGAGCCCTGACTGACGGAGGCATGTTCTGTGTCTGTTTGTGGGTCTGTGTGCGGCGCTGATTGCTGTTTTGTGTGGTTTTCTTTCTTCACAGTCTGAGTTGTTAAAATGTTTCTGTGTGGATGTTGAGTCTCTCTATTAAACACGTCCAATATATAAAAGTCGTTTTATATATTTGAAGAAGGATGCAGACTGATTGACTCATGGAGCAAACTTAAGCAGTAAGTGGTTTACGCAGGATTACAGAGGATTAGTCACATGAGCTCGTACAGCGTACCAAAGACAGCTCTTCTTCATTTAAGTTTATCTGAATTCATCACAACAACTCAGACATCCTGATAAAAATATCATTTATAAAATCTCAGCTTTGTATTTAGAGTTTTCTGTTTTAGGAAGAAACACAGTTACAATGATGACCTTTAACCTGTCCAATCACGTTGATGGACGTGATCTGTGATCACTCTGCTCTCATCCTGTGATTATTGGGCATGCGGGTGCAGGCTAGAGGGCTGACGGAGCAATCAGTCACACATCGTTCGTGTGATTTTAATATGTTATTCAGTGCAAACATGTCACTGGGTTTACACAAAGATCGCAGGTTAGATAAATCAGAGATGTTCCTGGCGACCAATTTCTTCGTCTACTAAAAAAAAGATTCTTCAACAATGAACCATGCCGCTTCATTATCAACATTACATGTTATACTCCAGACAGCAAGGCAGAAAAACACTTTAAATAAACTAATGTTAAATATTGTATGAAAACATGTTAGTACAAAAGTTCACGTGTTATTAAAACTGTGACTGAGCAATGCGCCGTGCATTATTGAAGCTAGTTCATCCACTTCAATAAAAGTTCAAATCTAAAATAACACATTAAATCATTCATTTATTTTCTTCTGCTGATCTGAAGTTGGGTCTCGGGGGCAGCAGCAGGGAAGCCCAGACCTCCTTCTCACCACGTCCTCCAGCTTATCCAGAACCATCAAGGCGTTCCCAGGCTAACCTCCTCTCTGGAGGACAAGCCCGGCCAGAATAGACAGGAAATGTTTACTTTTCTACAACAAGCGAAGCTTCTCTGTAGTTATTATTCAAATTCACCTGTCTAATGGTGCATGCTGTAGTAGTGTTCTTATTATTTTGTCGAAGGTGACTTTCTGTTCCTCCTCTGAGTTTCTCTTTGCTTTTGTTTTTCTTTGACCTCCGGCCTTCGGACTTTTCAAAGTAAGTGGAGAAGCAGAAAAACACGGTTAATCATAAAAACAGAAATCGAAGCTTTCAGTCTAAAAGTGTCTTTTGGGAGACGCGAGAGTGCCGCGAGTGGAGTGATTACAGCCTTGCTGATTGGAGCCTTGCTGAAGTCAAGTCGCTCTCTGAAAACGTTCAATTATCTTTCAGCAGATTATTTCATTAAGTGCACAAATTAGTGCAAGCTGGGGCACAAAGACGTGTGTGAGTCTCTTTAATTTATCTTTTATCTCTTCTCTCTCTGCAGATTCATCTCTGACCAAGATGAGCCCCTGCTCCGAGGCAGGGAAACCCTGTAACCCCTGTCTGGATGCGGCAAAGGCTTGTAACCTTAACGAGACGTGTAAACGTCTCCGATCTGCCTATAACTCCATCTGCAGCAAGACCACGCCCCCGCAGCCCTCTGCGGGCTATCAGGAGCCGTGTAGCAGGAAGCGATGTCAGAAGGTGGGTGCAGCGCCTCAAGTTTGAGGGGAAATCCTGAAGCAGTGAGAAAACTGCCCAGCGTTCAGCTCAGCTGCACGAAGCTCAGCTTAATTTCACACTTTCACAAAGCGTAGATAAAAAAAAAACAAACTCCGAACCTCTCCACAACAGCATCCTGCTCCAGCGTCAAAGGCAGGGAATGTGGGAAATGTAGCAGGGAGGTGGTTTAAAGACAAGGAACATAGCTCTGACCCAGACTGCAGGTACATGCTGCAGGTCACAGGCAGGGGATGCTTAATAAGGCAAGGCAAGGCAAGTTTATTTGTATAGCACAATTCAACAACAAGGTGATTCAAAGTGCTTTACAGAGACATTAGAAACAAAAACAAATGAAAAGCATGATTTAAAATTGATTAAAACAAGCAAACAAACAAACAAACTAATTAACAAACAAACAAACAAAACAGTATATAAAATCAAAACAGATAAAATCAGAAATAGATAAAATCAGTAGTTAAAATGTTAGTTTTGAAATTTAAGCTTAAAAGTGTGGATTTGGTGCTTTATTCAAATGCAGCTGAGAACAGGTGCGTCTTCAACCTGGATTTAAATAAATTGAGTGTTTCAGCTGATCTGAGGCTTTCTGGGAGTTTGTTCCCGATATAAGGAGCATAAAAGCTGAATGCAGCTTCTCCGTGTCTGGTTCTGACTCTGGGAACTGATAAAAGACCGGATCCAGATGACCTGAGGGATCTGGAAGGTTCATACTGGGTCAGGAGGTCACTGATGTATTTTGGTCCTAAACCATTCAGAGCTTTATAGACCAGCATCAGAACTTTAAAGTCTATCCTCTGATGGACAGGCAGCCAGTGTAAAGACCTCAGTGCTGGACTGATGTGGTCCACTTTTTTGGTCTTAGTGAGGACTCGAACAGTAGAGTTCTGAATGAGCTGTAGTTGTCTGACTGATTTTTTAGGTAGACCTGTAAAGATGCTGTTACAGTAATCAAGCCTACTAAAGATGAATGCATGGACTAGTTTTTCCAGGTCCTGTTGAGACATCAGATCTTTTATCCTTGATATACAGTGGGGCAAAAAAGTATTTAGTCAGCCACCGATTGTGCAAGTTCCCCCACTTAAAATGATGACAGAGGTCAGTAATTTGCACCAGAGGTACACTTCAATTGTGAGAGACAGAATGTGAAAAAAAAATCCATGAATTCACATGGTAGGATTTGTAAAGAATTTATTCGTAAATTAGGGTGGAAAATAAGTATTTGGTCACCTCAAACAAGGAAAATCTCTGGCTCTCACAGACCTGTAACGTCTTCTGTAAGAAGCTTTTCTGTCCCCCACTCGTTACCTGTATGAATGGCACCTGTTTGAACTCATCATCTGTATAAAAGACACCTGTCCACAGCCTCAAACAGTCAGACTCCAAACTCCGCCATGGCCAAGACCAAAGAGCTTTCGAAGGACACCAGGAAAAGTATTGTAGACCTGCACCAGACTGGGAAGAGTGAATCTACAATAGGCAAGCAGCTTGGTGTGAAAAAATCAACTGTGGGAGCAATCATCAGAAAATGGAAGACATACAAGACCACTGATAATCTCCCTCGATCTGGGGCTCCACGCAAGATCTCATCCCGTGGGGTCAAAATGATCATGAGAACGGTGAGCAAAGATCCCAGAACCACACGGGGGGACCTGGTGAATGACCTGCAGAGAGCTGGGACCAAAGTAACAAAGGTCACCATCAGTAACACACTACAACGGCAGGGAATCAAATCCCGCAGTGCCAGACGTGTTCCGCTGCTGAAGCCAGTGCATGTCCAGGCCCGTCTGAAGTTTGCCAGAGAGCACATGGATGATACAGCAGAGGATTGGGAGAATGTCATGTGGTCAGATGAAACCAAAGTAGAACTTTTTGGTATAAACTCAACTCGTCGTGTTTGGAGGAAGAAGAATACTGAGTTGCATCCCAAGAACACCATACCTACTGTGAAGCATGGGGGTGGAAACATCATGCTATGGGGCTGTTTTTCTGCCAAGGGGACAGGACGACTGATCCGTGTTAAGGACAGAATGAATGGGGCCATGTATCGTGAGATTTTGAGCCAAAACCTCCTTCCATCAGTGAGAACTTTGAAGATGAAACGAGGCTGGGTCTTGCAACATGACAATGATCCAAAACACACCGCCCGGGCAACAAAGGAGTGGCTCCGTAAGAAGCATTTGAAAGTCCTGGAGTGGCCTAGCCAGTCTCCAGACCTCAACCCCATAGAAAATCTGTGGCGGGAGTTGAAAGTCCGTGTTGCTCGGCGACAGCCCCAAAACATCACTGCTCTCGAGAAGATCTGCATGGAGGAATGGGCCAAAATACCAGCTACTGTGTGTGCAAACCTGGTAAAGACCTATAGTAAACGTTTGACCTCTGTTATTGCCAACAAAGGATATGTTACAAAGTATTGAGTTGTATTTTTGTTATTGACCAAATACTTATTTTCCACCCTGATTTACGAATAAATTCTTTACAAATCCTACCATGTGAATTCATGGATTTCTTTTTTTTCACATTCTGTCTCTCACAGTTGAAGTGTACCTCTGGTGCAAATTACTGACCTCTGTCATCATTTTAGAATCAGAATCAGAATGGGGTTTATTGCCAAATGTTGAGCAGGTTTACAACATTAGGAAATTGCTGCGGTGCTTCAGTGCAAACATGCTGTCATAAATAGCACTTAAATAGACATGGAAAAAAATAAAAGTAGGGATAAGAATTAAAAGTGCTACGTGGAAAGATATGTGCATGAGATATACATGAGATATATACATGAGAATAAGAATTAAGAGTGCTACGTTGAAAGATATATACATGAGTGCAGGTGGTGATCAGTGCCAAACATAGAATGATGCAGTGACACAGCGTAGGGTCATGTGTTAGTGGCGGGTACAGTCATATGGTTATTGTTCATGTGTCCAACAGCAGAGGGGAAGAAACTGTTCTTATGGCGAGAGGTTCTGGTGCGAATGGACCGGAGCCTCCTGCCTGAGGGGAGCAGGTCAAACAGACTGTGTCCAGGGTGAGAAGGGTCAGCTGAGATCCGAGCTGCACGCCGCAATGTCCTGGAGGTGTACAGGTCCTGCAAAGATGGGAGTCTGCAGCCAATCACCTTCTCAGCAGAGCGCACAACACGCTGCAGTCTCTGTTTGTCCCTGATAGTGGCTCCAGCGTACCACACGGTGATGGAGGAGGTGAGGATGGACTCGATGATTGCAGTGTAGAACTGCATCATCGTCCGTGTTGGCAGGTTGAATTTCTTCAGCTGCCTCAGGAAGTACATCCTCTGCTGGGCTTTCTTGATGACGGAGGTGATGGTGGGCTCCCACTTCAGGTCCTGGGTGATGGTGGTACCCAGGAAGCGGAATGAGTCCACAGAGGTGATGGGGGTGTCAGTCAGGATGATGGGGGGGAGTGGGGCTGTGTGCTTCCTGAAGTCCACAATAATCTCCACTGTCTTCTGGGCATTCAGCACCAGGTTGTTGTGGCTGCACCAGGACACCAGACGTTCAACCTCCCTCCTGTAGGCAGACTCGTCCCCGTCCGAGATGAGTCCAATAACGGTGGTGTCATCTGCAAACTTGATTAGCTTGACAGACTGGTGGGTGGAGGTGCAGCAGTTGGTGTACAGGGAGAAGAGCAGAGGAGAAAGAACACAGCCCTGAGGGGAGCCGGTGCTGATGGTCCGGGAGTCCGAGACATTCTTTCCCAGCCTCACATGCTGCTTCCTGTCCGTCAGGAAGTCAGTGATCCACCGGCAGATGGGATCAGGCACATTCATCTGGGAAAGCTTGTCTCGGAGATGGTCTGGAAGGATGGTGTTGAAGGCAGAGCTGAAGTTCACAAACAGGATCCTGGCGTAGGTTCCTGGGGAGTCCAGATGCTGCAGGATGAAGTGTAGGGCCATGTTGATGGCGTCGTCTACAGACCTGTTGGCTCTATATGCAAACTGCAGGGGGTCCAGGAGGGGGGCCGTGAGGGTCCTGAGATGGGAGAGAACTAGGCGCTCAAAAGACTTCATGACCACAGATGTCAGAGCCACGGGTCTGTAGTCATTTAGTCCAGTGATCCTAGGTTTCTTGGGGACAGGGATTATGGTGGAGGACTTGAAGCAGGCAGGCACATGACATGCCTGCAGTGAGGAGTTGAAAATGCCAGAAAACACTGGGGCCAGCTCGTTTGCACAGTGTCTGAGGGTGGCAGGAGACACACCGTCTGGGCCGGGAGCTTTCCGAGCATTCAGGTTCTTAAACTGCTTCCTCACATCTGCTTCATGAATATGAAGAGTTGTGGTGGGAGGAGGTGGTGTGAAATCCTCTTTTGTGTGGGGTGAGGAGGGGGGTGTCGTAGGTGAACGGTTTGAAGGTGGTGATGGCTCTATGGAGGGGAGAGAGGTGGGGGAATTAGTGTCCAAAGTATCTCTATTGTTGGGGCCGTTGGAGGTGTGAAGGCTGCCTGATGGCTCGTCAAAACGGCAGTAGAAGTCGTTAAGGGTGTTGGCTAAGAGCAAGTCATCAGTGGAGTGGGGGGTTTTAGGCTTGTAGTTTGTGATATTCCTAAAACCTTTCCACACAGAGGCCGAGTCATTCTCTGAGATCTGCTGCTGCATCTTCTCAGAGTGCTGATGTTTAGCAATGTCCACTTCTTTAGTGAACCTGTACTTGGCCTCTCTGTAGCAGTCCCTGTCTCCGCTTCTGAACGCCTTTCTCTTTTCCAGCCACAGCTTTTTGAGTTTAGGAGTAAACCAGGGTTTGTCATTGTTATAACTCACCCTGGTGCGTGATGGCACAATGCTGTCCTCACAGAAGTGGATATAGGAGGTGACAGTGTCCGTAAACTCATCCAAGCTGTTAGAAGCAGCCTTCAATGTGTCCCAGTCTGTGGTCTCCAAACACGTGCGAAGCTCCTCCACAGCCTCGTTGCTCCACAGTTTTTTAGTCCTCACGACAGGTTTGGAGAGC